ACCCTACAAGCATGTCCAACACTTGACAAAAGTCAGCCTTAGATATTCACTAGTGAACTCTTTCATAAAGTATTCCCTGTTCCTCTAGAACATCAACTAAGGAGGAATCCTTCTTAACCATAATATTGAATTCCCCAAAGCACTGTCATGCTATATGATTGAAAAGAAAACCTCATTACTTATATTCTTTATTACTATCTATATATATTGGTTTATTCTTTAAAGATATCTGAAATGATACATATTTCTTTATGTGTCCGAGATCTATGAAAAACTGTATGGATTGCAAAATCCTTCCTGACTTAACTTCATGGTCTCCTATTTAGGATGGATTTCCCACTTTGCCTCCTATTGCATATAATAAAACTATTTAGGATGGATTTTCCACCAAAATCCAGTTAGGGCGGAGGTTGACCGTTATCTATTGACCGTCGACAATCAACAACCATAATAGCCCGATTGTTTATTAAAATTTGATTAAATAATATTAAAAGTTATTCAATATATATGTAAATGAGATTTCTTTATTTAATTGAATTTATTTACAGAGTGCAATTAATTATAGGTCTTTTTCCCGTGGCTTAATCATGTGACTTAATGATATGAGATATGAAATAGGGTTTTTACAAATTGATCTTGTACATATCTTGAAAATGCCTAGTGGTGGGGGCCCTCAAGATTGGGGTTCAACCTTTTATTATCATCAAGAAGTTTCTTAAGATGTGTTTATAACTAATCTTGGTTCAATTCACTATTTATTATTAATCTATCTTTAATCTTGACATCTTTTAACATTTCTTACACGAAGATCCACACCAATATTATTAGCTTGTTTTAATAAACCAAGCCTAATAGGCTTTATTTTCAATCTGCAACTAAGCAATTAATTAGTCTCATAAGAAACGCATTTCTAAATCAATTTTACTATAACCATTTTCTTGTTTTAGCGGCAACCAATTGCAGATCAGATTAAAAACACAAAGAGGAGAACATAAACAATTTTGCAGACAATTCATATAACAGACTAACGGTTATAACTAAAACTATTATAAAAGATTCATAATTTCAATAGGACACTTTTCAACTCACACCCCTAAAATTGGACATTCTTAAAAATGCCTCGACGGTAGGGGCTCTCAAGGTTGGGGTTCAACCTTTTATTATCATCAAGATGTTTCTTAAGATTTGTTTATAACTAATCTTGGTTCAATTCACTATTTATTATTAATCTATCTTTAATCTTGACATCATTTAACATTTTTTACATGAGGATCCAAACCAATTTTTACAAATTCTTGCAGGTTGTTTAACATCCTAAATATGACTTCTGATCTGAATGCGGAACTCTCTAAGAATACTGTCATTTTTGGTCTCAAGGTCTGGAAAGTTATTGGGATTATTCATTATTGTCGCTTCATCATCATGTGATTTTCTTCGAATACAAATAAATCCAACAATAGCAGATCTTGACTTAGAAGAATACCCAAAAATCAAATATTTTTTCAAAGTTACCCAAACGGCCAAATCTAAGTTCCAAGTACTTCCAATTTCCAACTTCGTCTTCCAAGTTCCAACAGGTAACGGACAACACTGCAACAGTGAATGGTCCAAGTCAACACTCAACTCAAACTCAACATTCACAATTCACAAATTACATAACATAGATGATAAATTATAGATGCAGTGGCATAAAAAAAAGAAGGGAGAGAGGAGAAAAGGCTCATATTCCACAGAAAATGTTGTTACGTTGCCAACTTGCTGTCCCCTTCCTTTCAGCTTTGCCCAATCCCCAATCGCCCGCTGACGGCCCCTTCCTTCTCCTTCAGCCACGAAATCGCCCCAAATCCTTCCCAATCGCTCCTTCAGATTTCACAGCAAGTAAATGTAATTGATTTGGAATTGGAGGGTTATGAAATGGGGTTAATTTGGGGGAAATGAACCAAGAGAGAAGAAAAATGGCTCACGTTCTACAGTAAACGCTGTTAAGCTGCTAACCTGCCATCCCCTTCCCTTTAGCTTCGCCCAATCCCTAATCACCGGCCGACAGCCCCTTCCTTTTACTTCGGTCATAAAATCGCCCCAAATCCCTCCCAATCGGTCTTTCAGATTTCATAGCAAGTAAATGTAATCGATTTGGAACTGGAGGGTTATGAAATTTGGGTTAATTTGGGGAGAAATGAACCAAGATTCTTGCCTTGGGCATGGAAATAGAATTTCCTAACAGGGGTATTTTTCTCTAAATAATTCTAAAATGGACATTGGAAAAAATGTGGACATTTTTGCAAATGACTAGGTGAAATTGAACATTTTATGAAATTTCCTCTAAATATTAATATCAAAATTTGAAAATTAGTATGAAAAATATCAAATCATAGATTTCATCATTATACTATTGTCTGTACAATTACCTATGAGAAGAGGCTAATCGAAAAGACTAATTTATAATTTTTCGATTAAATGTAAAATTTAAAGGAACACAACATCCCTCTTATACATATGATCTTCGAGATGAATCAGTTCCAACAATCTCCGCCCACCCCTCACCCCCAATTAGTAAAGAATATTAGCCCCTTTTGCATTTACTGGAGTAGAAATTTACTTAACAAGATTAAGTTTCTATTCCTCATTAATGGAAATAAAGTCCTCCTGCATTGTATAATAACCTGAATGGTAAATTGCATACAAAGTCAAAAGTTAATTTGTTCAGTCGAAGAATATAGATGCCTAATCGCAAATGGGCTTGTAATTTTAGTATTTTTAAACTGCAAGCATGAAAATGTGGATACAAATATGTTGCTAGTCATTTCTTACCTAAAGTAAAATGAAATTGAAAAAAAAATTCCAAATTCCTATTTTGGGGTTTTTAGTTGGGCTTTTTAATTTTGGGTTGTACCTATAATTCTCATCTTTCCATTATGATTGTCATATAAATGCAGAAATCTATTCAACTGTAAAAGCTACTAAATATCTGTATAAATATTTATATAAATGATATGATAGAGTAATTGTATTTTATTTTTATTTCTATTTTTATTTTTGGGTGAATTGAGGGTGAAAATAACGTTGTTATTCATGAAATTAAAATATATCAATATGCCATATTATTAATTTGCAACGTATGTCGGCATATGTAATTAATTGTATATAAAGGCTATTTTAAAGTCAAAGGCAAAATTAAAGTGACCTAATAATGTTTTAAGCCTAGGTTTGCCAAACACAGGTAGGAATATGGAACGAGAAGAGGAAAAATAAAAATGTATAAGGTGGCTAAAAATAAACGGCTTGCTTTACTGTACTGATGAAACAGAAAACAAAATGGTTGAAAAGAAGACATATTTCTGTACCTTAGCTGAAAAGTAAGAAAATTAGGTAACATTAATCTCTCCGGAAATCAAACTTCAACTTCTACTATGTATGACCAACAAATAATAAATGGCGTGTGGATCAAGTAATTAATTACCTTCCTAGTTTTGTTTCTATTCATCAATTTGTTTATCCATTCCTATATTCAAATAATTAAAATATAGGGTTATGATCTTATTTGGTTGTAATGTAAGTTCAGAATAGCTTGGTTAAAAGAAAAATTGATCACAACCAATGTAATTTTGGTTGTCGAGAACTTGAATTATTATATCAATATCACTTTTATTAAAAGAATTCTCGATTAAACATGACTACTACATGTTTTATGTTTTAAATTTACTAATTTGTATTAATATGCACTGACTTTAAGAAGAAAGATAGAACTTATTTCAAGAATATGCTATTCTTTATTTCGGTGAGTATTGTAATTATTAGATAAATATTGATAAGCAAGAACTGGAGTTCTAAATCAATGAGATATTATTTTAAATTTTATTCTCACATGAAATGAGCAAATTAACTAACTGAGCTTTAGGAAGAAGCAACTTAGAGGGTGTTTGGAAGTGATTTTTCACTCCAAAAAAATTGATTTTTTGACCATTATTTTACTGTTTCAGACATAAAGTTTGACTTTTTTTCTCACAGGTAGATCCTATATTTCTTCTAACGATCAAAATATCAATTCTCAAAATCGCTTCCAAACAGGGCCTTAAGCTGGCCAATGATTTAACAGTCGGTCCATTTTTACTATAATTTGTTAGCAAATTAAAGTATGTTTGGGAAGTAATTATAAATACCTTTATTTATTTATAGATAGATAGAAAAGATTAGTGGATGGGTGGATAATGTTTAAATGATAGAAATGAGTATTAGATAAGTAGATAGTAACTGTGGATCTCATGAAATGAGAGAATAAAAATTGATTTGAAAAGTCATACATGACAATATTTGGACGATACAAAATGATACAGCTTCGGTTTGCATTTTTTTTTTCAAGAATCTTCAATATGCCGGCCACATTATACTAGGACATTGTTACAAGAACATCAAAATTTACATAAGAGATTACATATTGTTACATGACACTCTATCATTTGTCAATGTATAAAACACAGTTAACTATTTTCATTTAATCTTTTCCATCCAAATTATTTTCAGTGACCCCTTACGTACCATTTTTATGTACAAATGACAAAATTCTTTATATTAAATCTGACTTTTATTTTACATTAAAGGTTATATACATATACAATTTTTTTTCTATATAAATTTGGTGACAAATTATATAAATACAAGAAAATAGAGTTTTAGTTATATTAAAATATTGTGATCATGGACAGATATTTGCCGCAAAACAGAAATATAACAACTTAGGAATTTTATGTTTTTTGTGACAAAAGAAAATAAATAAATGACATGAGAATTATGAGAATTTTGTTTTCTCGAACCTCAATCACTTTCTCGTGGGTGTATTTGTTTCTTGAGCCGCAATTTATTGACTGATGCCATGTTCGAAAAAGCATGAAATTCTTATTCCACCAAACAAGTTCTGTTTGTCATAAATAAACAGTAAACATGACCAAACATTATTATCTAAATCTAATCTATATTCACAAACAAAAGCCTATAAATACCTCTTAAACGCTTCAACTCCTCATCGAATCTCTCTCATATACACAAGATGGCTAGCTTAGTGAGTTTTCTTGCTTTCCATTTTCTCTTCACCATCTTTCAGTATTCATCACTTGCAGCCAATGTTAATTACAATGTTCAAACATTGGGAGCAAAACCCGACGGAAAAACTGATTCCACAAAAGCATTCTTGAGTGCATGGACCTCTGCCTGTGCCTCTGGACAACCAGCCACCATATACGTGCCACCGGGAAGATTCTTGCTCGGCACCGCAACTTTTGCCGGCCAGTCATGCAAAAACCAGGCCATAACGATACAGATTGATGGCACTCTTGTAGCTCCATCTAATTATAACGTTATTGGAAATTCTGGTACCTGGATAAATTTCGAAAGTGTAACGGGAGTTTCTGTCATTGGTGGAACCTTGGACGCCCAAGGGGCTAATTTGTGGGCTTGCAAAAATTCCGGCAAGAGTTGTCCAACTGGAGCAACGGTACGTTAATAAAGAAGAAAGTGGACTATATCACTTGAAATAGTACTCTAATTAGCTTTGCATGTTTGATACATAATTAGTTCATTCTACTTGAGTAACTTGCATGGAAATTCTAATGTTCTTTTTCGTTGTATCTTCAATACAGACACTGGCATTCTACAATTCCAAAAACATCATGATCAGTGGATTGTCTTCAATAAATAGCCAGATGTTCCACATTCTGGTTTATGGAAGCCAAAACGCCAAGCTGGTGGGAATGAAGGTTTCAGCGCCAGGAAATAGCCCGAACACCGATGGAATTCATGTGGAGAAATCCTCAAGTGTCACAATTATGAACTCAAAAATTGGAACCAGCGATGACTGTATCTCTATAGGCCCTGGCACCTCCAACCTGTGGATAGAAAATGTCGCCTGCGGCCCTGGCCATGGGATAAGGTACTGGTTTTCTCACATATATAAAACCCGCAGTGGATTAAATTTTATAATATCTATCCCAAAGGTTTATTTGCGTACTTACAGGTGTGCTATAAATTAAGTACTTAATACCTAAGTTGATTAATTTGTGTGCCTTTTGCAGCATTGGGAGTCTAGGATGGGAAATGCAAGAACCTGGAGTGCAAAATGTGACAGTTAAGTCAGTTACATTTACAGGAACACAAAATGGGGTGAGGGTGAAGACATGGGCCAGGCCAAGCAAGGGGTTTGTTAAATATGATCTCTTCCAGCGTCTTGTGATGGTTAACGTCGAAAATCCAATAATTATTGACCAAAATTATTGTCCCGGTGGTCAAAATTGTCCTGATCAGGTAATAATTGCTTTTGTAGCATCATAAATTTTAATGTTGCACTTATTTCTATACAGAAAAACCCAATTCCCACCCTATTCCCCCTTCGTATATAAGATGACATCTGACCCTGTTTAATTCTTATTGAAATGAATGGAAGAAAACACGAGATTATTTATTCATTGCAAAATGAGTTTTACATCCTGCTATAAATAGACAACTGACCAACAAACAAACTAACGAACTTACTACAAACTAATACAACTGATGAAACTCACTTCCAGCCGTGCAATGTAACTGTAATTGCTTGCTTCGAGTTGCTGCTTCCGGTTAGCTTCCAGCTTGCATCTATTCTGTTAATTCTGAAAAGGGCTTTATATTGTTTTTTCAGGTTTCGGGTGTAAAGATTAGTGATATAACTTATCAAGACATACATGGGAGTTCGGCAACCGAAATTGCAATGAAGTTTGACTGCAGTAAAGGAAATCCATGCAGTGATATTAACTTGGAAGACGTTAAGCTGACCTACAAAAATGAACCGGCTCATTCGTCATGCATTAATGCCGATGGAAAGGCTTCTGGCTTAGTTCAACCCAACAACTGCTTGTATAATTAGAAAACAGATTGAAGGATTTATAGTTGAACAAGATTATAGATCATATACTAAAAGATTAAGTACAAAATTAAGAATGAGTTTAGACACACAATGTATCCAATAGAATAAATAATTTCATATAAATGAAAGTTTTTTTTACATAGATTGAAAAATTTCCGAACATTTTCTCAAAACCTTCTATACAATCTTCTCATTACGAGTAAAAATTGAAATAAACGATAAATGTGATTAGTTTAATGTGTTTGAATTGATACATTTACGAGTAAAATGGGGATTTACATTTGTACTTGTGTATACTTTCTCTTAATACATAGAGAACATTTTCACAAAAAAAAATACTACAAAATCATTACAGCTTCAACGAGAAAACTTCTTTCTTGAAAAGTTTATCCTTCTTGACGAAATAGCCAAACAATTACCTTTTATGAGCGTTCAAAGAACGGTTTTTATCAAAAGCGCTCAAAGAACGCTCTCGAGCGGTTTTTACTCAATATCTACTCATGAAATTGTGTTTACTCTTGATGAAATAGTCAACAAGCTTGAACTCAATATCTACTCAAGAAGATCAACTAATTATCAAAAGAACTCAAAGAACGCACTTAGCGATTTTTATAGTAGCTGTTGCAGGGGGCTTGAGCGGCATGTTTATCGAGGAAAACCCTAATTCATGACACCCACATGGAGTGGCTGAGTTGGTGGAGTAGGTGAGCATGGAGACCTTGGTCACGAGTTCGGTTCTCCCTACCAATACTTTCTCGGTCGAACTTGTCGCACAGGACTTGTCTAGTCTGGTTTACCTGACTGCGTGGTTTGTCGGCTATTACATTAGCTCTAGAGTTTACCCTGTCTGCATTCGAAGGGTAGTTGCTGCGGGTTCCCTCATCATTAAAAAAAAAAAAAAACTAATCCATGATTTTCAGCCTTTAAACAATTCCAAATAATTCAACTCGATTAAATGATGTTTGGACATAGAATTGCCAATACATTTAGACCGAACATTGTTCGACACGATCAAATGGTTGTTATTCATCTAATGTTATTTTTACTGATGATTTTTTTTTTCCAGATTTAATTACTTGGATGTCTATTTTGAAGTCTAAAGATAAAGTTTATGAAAGCTTCCTCCAATTTAAAACGCTTATTCAAAAATAATTTTAAACTAAAATCAAACAATTAGAATCAGATAGTGGGGGCAAATATATATCAACTTGCTTAAAACAACTTCTGTCAGATCATGGCATTCGCCATCACTTAATCTATCCTTATGCAACTTAACAAAATTGGCTGGCCAGAACGTAAGCATTTACCCATCATGAAAATTGGACTAGCTCTTTGTATCACAATTAACAATAATCTTTGATTAATCAACTCCTATCTCGTGTTGGAAAATGTCTGTGATGGAGAAAACGTGATTCTCTAAATTGCAACTTTGTGAGGCTATTCTGGACATTTTGGCACTTAAGTTAGGGGATGTTACTTGGCAGCTTATGACTCGTCCCTTCCATGTTACTTGGATCTATGTTTCTTTTGGCCATTTATCGACAATTCGATCACTTAAACGGTGGAGATCTTACAAGATTATTATCTCTTGGGTTCTAGTGTCTTCGGTGGGTGAGAGACTCTTTAGTTTATTGCCATTTTGACTCTCGGTTTCCTCTCTTTCTTCTTCGAAGATTTCTTCTTCTCTCTTCTTGGTTTTTTAAATCTGGAGTGTGTTACTCCTTGTGTGATTCTTGTAAATTTGTTATGCTACAATAAATGATAGGTCGGTTAATAGGCAATCTGTTGTAGTTTGTGTTAGTGGTCATTTTTGAAGAAGGAGATTTTCTGTGTCTCGATTTGAGATCTGTTTGGATCGATGATTGATCTAGTTGTTTTCGTTGGTTCTCTGTACTTTACTCTCTTTGGGAGGTAGAATTGCACTAGTGGATTGTGTTGACCCTGAGCCCCTCAGATTAAGCCAATTGGGTCAAACTGGGTGAACAATTTTGCTGTGTCTACTTTTCTTGCATTGTGCGTTTGTGTTATTTGTGTTTATTGTGGTTTTGGGTCAAAATACACCAACAAATCTAGTATCAAAGCCATTAAAGGTGAGGTAAGGTATATTTGAACATAGTTTAATTTCTTGTCGTATTGATGTGGTTACTTCACTTGTGCAGTAACAAGAAAGTGAAATAAACTGGTTCTTGGAAGCTAGGGTTTTGGATTTACACCTGCACGAATCAGATCTGTTTTTGGTTAAATGCTGTAGTACACAGCATTTGGTAAGATCTTTTTCAATTAAATTGCAGTAGTTGATTTGCATCATATAAATGGTATATGTGAATTCAGTGATGCTAATGTGATATGATTATTCAAAGAAACTGAATAAAGTGTTTAATTGTGATAGAAACATGTTTTAGGATATTTCATTTTTTTTGTAAATTGATTGATTGGTACCAACTGTTAGAAATCTAAAATTGATCATTTTTCGTGTTACTGTGTTTTACTCAATGCATGCTATAGAACCGTCTGTTTTTCATTATGGGTTAGCTTACTTGTCAATTATCTGCAAACTTGTTTTTCGAAACCTTTTCTATATCTTAAGTGATTTCTTGAATTAAATTACTTACATCCTCGAGTAATAACCCTTTTATAGAACCCATAATGGGTTCGAAGGTTGAATTGAGTCAATTCGATGGAAAGGGTGACTACTGTATATGGAAATAGAAAATGAAGGCCACTTTGATCTAGTAGAGGATTGCAAAAGCCCTTGATGATCTTGAAAAGTTTCTTGATGAATTGAAAGCTAAGCTTGTTGAAATTGAAGATATGAATGAAATAGCATATAGTTCGATCATACTGCATTTGTCTGATAACATAGGGAGACAAGTTGAAGAACATAAAATTGCTCAAGTAATGTGGGAAGCACTAGATACATTGTTCTCAACTAAAACACTACCTAATAAGATCTACATGTTGGAGAAACTTTTAGTTTCCATATGGATCCTGGGAAAGACTTAGAATCTAATCTTAGTGACTTCAGCATTCTAGTCAAGAGTGTTTCCCATAACAATAAGAAATTTGAGGACGAAGATTTGGCTATGATCCTTCTAAATTCACTACTTGAATCTTATAAAGATATCCGAAATGCTATAAAATATTCAAGCGATGTTTTAACACAAACAATTGTAACAAATGACCTAAGATCTAGGGAGTTGGAAGTCAAGAAGGAATCAAGAACTAATTCTAGAGAGGAGAGCCTGTTTGTGAGAAGGAGAACTGAAAAGAGAGAAAACTATTCATCGAACAAGAGGTTCAAATCAAAATCCAAAGCTAAGTCCAAGTCAAGAGATAAAAGCAACAAAAAATGCTATCATTGTGGAAAATTTGGACACTTCAAAAGGGATTGCTTTGAATTAAAGAATAAGTTAAAAGAACCTAATAACATTGAGTTGAATAATGATGTTGTAAGTCTAGAACCTGAGAGCCTTCTTGTTATGATTGTGTCTAATGATGAAACATACACGAACTGAATACTTGACTCTGGATGTACTTTTCATATGTGCCCAAATAAAACTTGGTTTCATAACTACAAGGAGGTAGAACCCAAGAAAGTGTATATGGGTGATAATAATTCACAAAATATTTTTGGAATCGGTGACATTACAATAAAAAATGTATGATGGTATTGTCAAGCAGATTAAAAATGTGAGACATGTCCCAAATCTAAAAAGAAATCTCATCTCATTAGGAATTCTCGAAGATGAGGGACATACTTTTAAATTTGAAAATAATACTTTGAAAATTCTCGAAGGATCTCTTGTAGTTAGAAAGGAACCAAAAAGAAATGGTTTGTATTACTTGATGGGAGAAACTATTAATTCCCAGGATTCGAAATTCTTAACCGTAATTGAGAGTAAATCTGAACTGTGGCATTGTGGATGGGACATATTCGTAATAAAGGCTTAAAATATCTAAATGATCAAGAATTGCTTGGAAAAAATAAAGTAGAGCCCCTTAACTTTTGTGAGACATGTGTGCTTGGGAAGTCTCATTGAGTCAGCTTGGAGACGGGGTCACACACAACAAATAGAGCATTAGACTATGTCCACTCAGATTTGTGAGGTCCAGAAAATGACTCAACTTTTGGTGGGAACAAGTACATTCTTTCTATAATTGATGATTATTCTATAATAGTCTGGACCTACCCCTTAAAGGCAAAATCAGAAACCTTTCAAAAATTCAAAATGTGATTAATGATAGTTGAAAATCAATTGGGAAGAAAATTGAAAACTTTAAGGACAGATAATGGGGTAGAATTCTGTAACATAGATTTTGATAACTTTTGCAAACAAAGGAGAATAATTAGATATAAGATTGTTTAGCACACACCCCAACAGAATGGGGTAGCTGAAAGAATGAATAGAACTCTCATGAATAAAGTTAGATGGATGCTGATAAGTTCTGGTTTAGCAAAATGATTTTGGGCAGAAGCTTTATGCACTGCAACCTATCTTATAAATAGGTCACCCTGCAGTTTTGTAGAGTTTAAAAGTCCTTAGGAACTATGGACTAGAAAACCACTTAACCTATCACACATCAGGATCTTTGGATGTGCTGTATATGCACATCTGATTGAAGGAAAATTAGACACTAGGGCTACCAAATGTGTTATGCTGAGATACCTTGAAGGAGTTAAAGGGTACATGTTATGGGTACTAGGTGAAAAGGGTATTAAGATCACTAATAGTAGAAATGTAGTGTTTAATGAATCTGAAATGCCATGCTTGAAGAATAAAAAGGATAAACATGATGTAACTGAAAAGAGTACTTCACAGAATGAGGTGAAGTTGGCAATATTGAGTCACAATCATATTGAAATGACTAAATTTGAACATGAACAACCTAATGAAAGGGTAAATAACATAGATGAAGGTGAAGTTATACCATCCCAAACTGAAATTGAAATTGTGACACATGATAATCCTATAAATGAAACTACTACCCAAGATTATCAATTAGTGAGAGATAAAGAAATGAGACAGATTAAGCCTAATCCCAAGTATGAAACTAATAAACTGACTGACTTTGCCCTAATCACTGGTGAAAACTTAGAACATACTGAACCTTTATCTTATGAGGAAAC